GTGAGCGCGCATGGCCATAGCAAAATATCCCCTAAACCCTAAACCCTATAACTCCTAACCCCTAAACCCTAAACCCTATAACCCCTAAACCCTATAACCCCTAAACCCTAAACCCCCTAACCCCTGAACCCTAAACCCTCAGACCCAGCACTAGGGAGAGAACATCGCATGTGTGACGTGTTGCCGACTCAGGACGCACTGGCCGGGGAACCCCGGAGCTTTGCGGTGTGGCTGGCCAGAGTCTGAGGGTTCATACCAGTATATACCATTATATATTATACTGCACTCTACCATAATATATCAGACTCTATTATAAGATATTTAAAGATATTGTATCGTATTGTAATATAGTAAAATATCTTATAATAAATTATGATATAATGTATCATAATATATTTTAATATCCTACAATATACTATACTATATATTCTGATATCCCATAATTTGCTACTATTTATGAGAATATCCCAGAATATAGTGGAATTCAAGGTTTAGGGCTAAGGGTGGCGAGTTATACATGTTATAGGTCTGAGCTGGCTACAATTTCAGTGTATTTTAGGCGGCAGAAGGATTGGCGCGAGCGCTTGGGATTCCATACATGTACATACACATGCCACTTCCACCTTTACCCGATACATGATAAATCTTGTTCCAAGGCGCCACAGCGGCGGGTCAACATATGCATGGATGTGAAACCCTTAACCCTAAACCCCTAAACCCTAAAAAGAAACCTAAACCCTAAACCCTGAGTACCATGGCTCACTCCGAGCCCTAAAGAGCAAGTCCTGACTGCTATGCTCTGTGCAAGACCGCGTGGACATCATCAACAGCACCCTGGGCAAAGCCTTGGGTGGTGCCACTGGTGGTTACACCACCGGCCCCAAGGCTTTCGTTTCCTGTCGGTTCAGTTAGCAGAGCTTTGGAATTCGCAGTTATCCTCATCAGGCTTACGGTGATAGCTGCTATCCTGATGCCCACCGGCCAGGCATTGATCGACCTGTTACGTAACCGCGCAAGGCCCAAGGGTAAGTGATTAGTGAAGTAGTGGCCTTCTCAGGTTCTCATGGAGTCACTCTCTGGGGCTCGTAGCATACACAACAGATGCCAGTGATTTGGCAGGGTATGGGGTTGATCCTGCTTGGAGGTTTCACTACCTGTGGCTAGGAGCAAATGAAAGTTTCAGACCATGCTGTTTGTGCGCAGGCCTTATCTCTTCTCAAACACTCTGGCCCCTTCCGCAGCAACCTCAGCAACTGTGCCAGAAAGCAACACGATGCTCCGAGTGCGCTCGATAAGCCCGAAGGAGACAAGCAGAAGAATCAGACAGCCAACATGGAAATAAGTTATTCATGGGATTCAGGTATCTTGGCTTAATGATGGGTCCCCCATATAAGGGGCCCCCTTAAAGGGATCCCATGATATCTTCGGCTGGGAACATTTTCAATGTGCCTTCAGCAGCAGACTGCCGCTGAGGTGGCCGGAGCATCCTTGCAGGCAGCCCCACGCACAACAACCGATCTGGTACACCGGGTTTAGGGTTTATGTAGGGTTTAGGGTTCATATAGGGTTTAGGGTTTATGTAGGGTTTAGGGTTCATATAGGGTTTAGGGTTTATGTAGGGTTTAGGGTTCATATAGGGTTTGGGGTTTATGTAGGGTTTAGGGTTTAGGGTTTATGGCAGCAACTGTTTACAGAAGTGATGGTAATAATTGGATCCACACTGGAAACTTAACTGTTTACAGAAGTGATGGTAATAATTGGATCCACACTGGCAACTTAACTGTTTGCAGAAGTGATGGTAATAATTTAATGGCTGCCGCCACTTCCACCGACCCCGTGAATCCTCCTGGGTCGAGGGGTTTGGGTCAGAAACCGTGGCAGCTGCTCGGAGTTCTGTCCGTTAAACCGTTATATACATCAGCAAGTGGAGGCTTTGGGGAGGAGGGGTGGGACTTGCTGAGTGCTGATGTTCATAATTTGTTAGGGTTCTATGAGTTGATGGACATGAAGTCCTTGCATGAAATACTGGATGCTGAAGCTGTGGACTGAACTGATCCTCGCTGTAAAGAAGTGTTTGGACATGTCTGTTGTTGTTTGTTTGTTCGCCGCCTATGAGTGGTGAGTTCGCCGCCTCTGAGTGGCGTGTTGCCGTGGTGAGCGTAGGTTTAATGTCTACTTATGTGGTCTCTGCTGTTCTGCATGCGCTCCACTCGTTCCTTCTCTTGCCATATATGATATTTCGGTCAGGCGGTGTACCTGCACCCCTGCTTTTTTATCAATTTAAAAGGTATACCAATTCATAAGGTTTATAAGGTACACCCTACTCCAAGTTACACTTGTTGGGACTTGTTGGGACGCAGGTATAGCTTCAGACTGTAATAGAATCACTGACCGAATCGTCATATCGACTTTCTTG